TACTACTACTACTACTACAACTACTACTACTACTACTACTACTACTACTACTACTACTACTACTACTACTACTACTACTACTACTAGTACTACTAATACAACTACTACTACTACTACTACTACTACTACTACTACTACTACTACTACTACTACTACTACTACTACTACTACTACTACTACTTCTACTACTACGACTACTACTACTACTACTACTACTACTATTACTACTACTACGGAGACTACTAGTACTACGAATACTACTCGACTACTACTAATACTACTACTACTACTACGTCCACTACTCACTCAATCACACTTACTACTACGACTCAAGACCTACTGACCACCTGATTACCTCCGACTACTACGACTAAGTGTGTATATTTCCACTACTAATACGACTACTCGACTACTACTACTACTACTACTACTACTACTACTACTACTACTGCTACTACTACTACTACTACTACTACTACTACTACCACTACTACTACTACTACTACTACTACTACTACTACTACTACCCCTCCCCCTCCCCCTCCTCCTCCTCCTCCTCTTCATCCTCCTCCTCCGCGCCCTGGAGGACCGCCGTGGCGGACAGGCGCAGGTTGAGGAGGCTGAGTGGGACGAGGAGGCAGAAGGTAGTGGGCGGAGGAGGAGGAGGGCGGAGGAGGAAGAGGAGAAGGGCAGCGGGAGGAGGGAGGAGCCTCCTCCTCGAGCCTTCTGTCTGATTTTCTGGGGGAAGGCGCCCGCTATCCTGAGGCGCCGCGCCGTGGCACTGCGCCCTCGTCTCGACGCCGGCGACGTCGTCGTCGAAGACCAGGCTCCTAGTGTTCGTCGTGGGCTGCAGCCGCACCTCGGCTTCTGCCAGGCTTTCTTCTTACAGTCAAGGCATATGATAAGGATGCGCTCTAAGGATGCGAGGGCCTCGGAAGGCCATCTCGATGCCTTTGGAGCGGGGCGCGGCCAGCGAAAGTGGCCAAGGATTGGCCGAAGGGGCAAGGATGCAAGGGCAATTTCATCCTTATGATGCGACTTGACTGTATCTGTCAGCGCGATTTAAGGTTGAGGATGCCGGATGTGTGCACCATGCCCACCAAGGTGGCACAGACGCAAAGGGGAGTTGTTTGGCGGCGCGGGGGTGGCGCGAATATATTCCACAACGAGAGAAGGCACATCATGCACACCACCCACGAATCCGCCACCGTGCCGCCGGGCACTGAGTTGAGTGTCCTGAGGTCCTTTTGCCTTTTTTACTGCACCTACCTTGCAGACGTGCTCCAGAGGATTTTTGCGTGGATCGCTGTCAACGCAAAACCCCGAAACAGCGAGCGAAAACACGAAGTGAATTTCACGTAGATGTTTTGTTAGTCTTCCATTCCTGGCCCAAAACGAATCCACGCGAAATTCACCTCGAAATCCGGAACGAAATCTTCCAGGACACTCAGGGCCCATCCTACTTCCGAACGAAATCCGCTCTGCGATGTTGGCGCCGTGACCTTTTCTGCGTGGAATCATGGATACTAGCCGTAGTCGGCGGTGGACAAGCCTCCCTTTAGCAAACCTCCCTTCAGTGAAAACTGCCTAAGACCGAAACCGACGGACCTGGACCCGCGAAAATGACGGCCGCGACGGCCTCTCGCGAACCGAAATCGGCCAATTCGCTAATCGACGCGTCAGAAAAGGAGGTCTACCCACCCCCGATGCAGGGGCATCACAGCCGCGAGCGCCGGAGGTCCTGGGGCGGCACGTGGCGGACCGGGGCGGCCCTGAGCTTCTCGTAGGGGCGCCAGCCAAAGACGGGTCTTGCGCGAGGTGGCAAACAGGCCTCGGGGGAAAAAACAGCGAACACTCATGCCACACTCATTTGTCAACGCCTCCCCCTCCCCCCAATGTTCAGAGCTGGCGGTGGGTCTGATGAATTACACCTCGACCGCAGTCGCCCCCGCGCGTGCCAACATTGAGTTTGGGGGGGAGGGGGAATGTTCAGTAATTGGTTCCCTCTACCGTAGCGCCCTTCCGCGGTGGCTTACGCGGGCCGCCAGCGCGGCACGCCACATTGGAAGCGAAGGCGCTTGCGCGCGAGCTTACGCGGGCAGCTTACGCGTTTGTTTGCGTCGCTGAGATGGATTTCCCGCGGGCCAGAGGGCCTCCAGACGGACGAAGGAAAGCCCCAGAGGCCGCCAATACAAGGTCCAAAGGGGCCCCGAGACGGCCCGCAGAGAGCGCCCCAAGACGCCCAAGATGGCCTCCCTCAAGATGGCAACAAACAAATCCTCAAAGACGCCTCCAGAGGGCTCCAGGAGGACCGCACAGAGAGCCCCAGGGGCCAAAAACCGTCACCCCCCACACACACACACACACACACACACACACACACACACACACACACACACACACACACACACACACACACACACACACACTCCCCCAGAAAAGCGCGCATACTTCGCATCTTCGCTTTGCGGTGCCTGCACGGCGCCCCAAGACTGCCCAAGAGGCCCCCAAGATCATCCCATGGACGGCTCAAGAGGCTTCCAAGAGGGGCGAGGTCAAGTCCGACGATGCCGAGTCGTTACCCTCCCAGAGGCCTCCGAGATGGAGTCGGAGTCGATGGGACCCCATCTGGGAGGCCTAGAGATTCCTTCCCCTCCCTTGTGTATTAGGTATGAGAATCATATCTAAGCAGGTTTGGCCTTGTTAGCGCCTATTGGTGTCTGAGGAATGCCCCTATTAGCGCCTATGAGCACCTATCTGCGCCTATCGGTGCCTATCAGCGCCTGATAGCGACCACAAATAATAAGCAGTAACGAGCGTTCGCAATCGGGAAAGACAACAACTAATGCTATGCTCACAGTGACTCTCATGCATAAGATGCCCAACCTCCCCCACCCTCTAACTACCTACCAGGCCACCCCAACCCCACCCGAAGACCCGAATTTCGGGTCTGGTGGGGTACGGGCTTCACATACGTTTCTTCGATGTTCCCCGACCCCCCCCCCCACACTGGAAATGGAGGGCAAATCGGGGCCTTCGGGTTGGGTTGGGGCGGCTCGGTGGGTGAGGAGGAGGAGGAGGAGAAGGAGGAGGAGGAGGAGGAGGGGAAGAGGATGAGTAGAAAGAGGAGGAGGAGGAGGAGGACGACGAGGACGAGGAGGAGGACGAGGACGAGGAGGAGGAGGAGGAGGAGGAGGAGGAGGAGGAGTAGGAGGAGCAGGAGGAGGAGCAAGAGGAATGGGCGGTGACCCTCTGGGCCAAACACCGTCACGGAGCTCCTGGCGTCGCTCCCGGCCAGCCGGCAGAGCACCACGCTGCTGCGCTCGTCCTCCACCGCCTCCGCGCGCCGCACGGCGGCCTCTCCAGGAAGAGGACGGGCAGAGGCGAGAGAAGGGGAAAGGAGAGCAGACGGAGGGGTAGAGGGGCAGAGATGAAGGGGGCGAGCGGAGGAGGGGGAGCAGGGGGGGAGGAGGGGATGAGGAGGGAGAGGGGAGAAATATCGAAGAGGAGCAGCAGCAGGAGCAGCATCAGGAGGGGAGGAGAGAGGATGGGGAGAAGAAGAGCAGGAGGGAGGAGGGAGGAGGGAGGAGGAGGAGGAGGGAGGAGGGAGGAGGAGGAGGAGCAGCAGCAGCAGCAGCAGCAGGATGAGGAGGGATGCAATCGCACAACTGGCTCCCACTCGGGTAATTCTGCTGTGGCGGATAGATAGAACTGGTCGATACCAACTGTCTCGCGGCTCGGAGTGGGGCCCACGACCCTCTTTTCAGCATCACCCCGCCCGAACTGGTTGCCCAGGCCTCCCTGTCGGAACTCGGGCGCCATCCTGCGGGGCACGCCATCTGCGTAGGGCTCCGTGTCCTGGAGGCCCCCAGGGCTGAGCAGCGGAGACGCGTTGGGCGCCCCGGGCTCGTGCACCGAAAAGTACAAGCCGACTGCGAAGGCGCTGGGGCTGGCACTCCTACGGAGCTGCGTCGCGTGAGGGGGAAGGCTTCGGCTGATAAGCTGACCACACAAGCTGCACAAGCCAAGAGCGTGCACGAGCCCGACCTTGCGTCTTATCACAGGGGCCTTCCGCTTTGTTCGAGTACGGCACAAGCCATGCTGGATATGCTTGAGCTGTGGCCAGCGTCGAAGGACATCTTCGAGAATCTGGAACGCGTACCTGGGAGCCCAAAGCAGCCTCGAAGACAAATCGACCGACCCCCACACGGCCAACCCCGTACTGCTATGCGGGAGTGTAGCGCTTCGAGACGCCTGCCCTGCCATCGAGACAGCAAGACAACCCTGAGATCCTGAGACCGACTCTCAATGCTTCAGCTCGCCTCCCACACTCGAGCAAGTGGTTGCAGCCACGTCCACCCTGAGGATGACGACGAGGAGGACGAGGAGACGGAGGACGAGGAGACGGAGGAGGAGGAGGAGGAGCAGGAGGAGGAGGAGGAGGAGGAGGAGGAGGAAGACGACGACGACGACGACCTGGCCTCCACCGCGCCGCCCCTGGCGCCGCCGTCGGCGCCCGGAGCGGCCGCCGGGCCCCGCCGCAGCGCCGAGCCCCCGCAGGGCCGCGCCAGCCCGAGGCAGGCAAGCACCAGCGCCGGCGCGCGGCGCGCGCGGCGCCGGCGCGCGCCGGCGGGCTGCATTTGAAGAAGTTGGACGCCCGAGATGGGTACGGAAAGAATGGGTACAATGCCCAACAGCAGATGTTTCCCAAACCAACAGCGGCCGCTGTTGAGCAGGCGGCCCTTCTGTCCCGAATGGACACAGGCCGCGGCGGCGGCCGACAGCGAGTCCTGTTTCAAGTGAACAGGGAACTGTTGTGGGTATTGTACCCATTCTTTCCGTACGTACCCATTTCGGGCGTCCAGAAAGAGAGGGCGGCCGCGGGGCCGGCCGCCGCGGGGTGGCTGCGGCGGGCGGGGGGGGGGCGCCGGCCTGAGCCGCGGGGCGACGGCGAGAGGGCCGCGGCAGCTCACACAGGAGCGAGGCCGCGGTCGGACGCCCACACGCACGGGGGGGTTCAAGGGGGCAGACCCCCAAACCTCCACACCAAAAAACAAGCACTGAGGGGATTCTGGACGGGTTCGTGGGGGGGAGCCCCCCTCCCCCCCCCCCCCCCCAAAAGAAAATCTCTAAGTGCGGTTTCAAGGGGGGGAGCCCCCCTAACTCCCCAAAATAATCCGTAGGGTTTGGGGGGGGTCGGGCGGAGAAACCATAAACCACCCCAAAAAACCCTGAGAGGCTTCTGTTTGGGGGGCGTCAGGGGGGAAACCCCCTAAACCCCAAACAAAGAATCCTCTGAGTGCGGTTTGATAGGGGGTTCGGGGGAGGAAACTCCCCTACCCACCCCCATAACAAACCTAAGGGTTTGGGGGGGGGGAGGGGCGGGGAAATCTTTAAACCACTGAGAGCTTTTTGCTTGTGGGGGGGTCAGGGGGAAAACCCCCCGGAAACAACAAACAAAAAAACATGAGAGGGGTTCTGTGCGGGTTCGAGGGGGAACCCTTAACCCCAACCCAAAAAAATTAGCCTGAGAGGGGGGGGTCGGGGGGGAAGACCCCCCTACCCCCCCCTCACGAGTGGTTCTGGCTTTTGTTTTCCAAGCGGTGGGTGGGCAACTGCCACTCCCTACTCTGCCTCCTCCTCCTCCTCCTCCTCCTCCCCTCCTCCTCCTCCTCCTCCTCCCCTCCTCCTCCTCCTCCTCTCCTCCTCCTCCTCCTCCTCCTCCTCCTCCTCCCCTCCTCCTCCTCCTCCTCCTCCTCCTCCTCCTCCTCCTCCTCCTCCTCCTCCTCCCTCCTCCTCCTCCTCCTCCTCCTCCTCCCCTCCTCCTCCTCCTCCTCCGCCTCCCTCCTCCTCCTCTCCTCCTCCTCCTCCTCCTCCTCCTCCTCCTCCTCCTCCTCCTCCTCCTCCTCCTCCTCCTCCTCCTCCTCCTCCTTCCTCCTCCTCCTCCTCCTCCTGGGGCCCCCAAAACCTCCCAACCTTCCCTGGAGATCCCAGAACCCGCGACGAAAACCTCCCGAAGCGTCTCCTGTCCCTCCCTCGTCCCCCGCTGGCAGCAGGCGTGCCAGGGCCCGCCGTCGGCAGCGAACCCCTGCGCTGTCCAGAGGTGCTCAGACGTTTCTCGCGGCGCGAGGCGCACTCTCCGCCACCTGGCTCAACGAGCGGGAGCAGGCCGCCGAGGCAGGCGCGCCTGCAGGTCGCCTCCTCGAAGTCGCAGCACCTCGGGCACGTTGGGGTCCGCCTCCCGCCCTCCGAGGCAGCAGCCGTGGCCGTCGGCGGCAGCTGCCGTGCCCGCCAGGCCCTGCAGGCAACGCCACCACCTCGGGGCAATGCGCTGCCCGCGCAGGCCGGAGGGCTCGTCTGGCTGGATCCGCGGCGCGACGCCGCGCGAAAAGGCCACGGCAGGCCCGAGACCAGGCACGCCGTGCCGGCGGAATCCTGGAGCAGAGGCCCTCGGCAGAGCTCGCCGCACGAGGCGCGTCACCCGGGCTTGTCGAGCTGGAAGACCACGACGCCGGCGCGCTCCATGGCAGAGACGCTGGACGCGTCGCTGACGCCCTCGCGGAAGCGGGCGGCCTCCGCGGGGATGAAGTGCCTCTCATACGCGACGGCCAGCTGCAGCCCGGGCCGCGCGGCCGCAAAGTCGGCGATCCTCCCGGCGCACGACGGGCAGGGGCAGAGGAAGGCCAGATGCTGGCTCCGGGGACCTTCCTGGAGCCCTTCGCTCGACTCACGCGTCGGTGCTGCGCCGAACGGCCGTCGGCTTGGCACGAGCCTGAGTCGAATCGGAGTCGAGATAGGGTCCAACCAGAGTCGACCCGGAGTCCCACCAGAATCCAACAGGTCCGCCGGGTGGGCCCCAGGAAGGCCCCCGGAGCGAGCATCCCCGGAAGGAGTACAGCAGCACGGACCGCAGCGCCCCGAGCGCCTCGGGGCCCTCGGCCGCCAGCCTGCCCAGCAGCAGCGCCTCGCAGTGCGCCTCCGCGTTCTTCGGGTCCGCCCCCGTGCGCGCCACCAGCAGCGCCCCCTGCTGAGTGCCGTTTCACCGATCCCCGTCCCCGGCGGCGTGGCCTGGGCCCCACTGGCCGATTATTTACCCCCCCGAGATGGGGACCTAACTAGGTCGCTCCCTTCGGGTCTCGAGGGGTGCATCCCCGACTGGGGTGGCAAGTCGGTGGGCGTCTCGAAGTGGATTGCGGACGCCCGAAATGGGTACGGAAAGAATGGGTACAATGCTCAACAACAAATGTTGTCCCAAACCAACAGCGGCCGCTGTTGGGCAGGCGGCCTTCTGTCTCGAATGGAGACAGGCCGCGGCGGCGTGGACAGCGAGTCCCGCTCAAAATGAGCAGGATCCGCTGTTGGGCATTGTACCCATTCTTTCCGTGCCCATTTCGTTCGTGCAGACGGATGGGGATGGGGACGGGGATGGGGATGAGGATCGGCGAAACGAGACCGACCTGCCGCAGCTCCACGGCCGCCAGCCGCGCGGCCAGCGCCCCCGGCGCCTCGGGCTGCGCCAGCCCGCCGCGCCGCGGCAGGCCCCAGGCCTCCCGCTCCTGCGCGCCGTGCGGCGCCGGGCCCCATCCCCGCGGGGACGGCCTCGGCCCCGCCGGCCGAGCCGCCCCCTGGCTGGGCACGTGGTGGTCGTCGTCGCGTCGCCGCTGTTGTCATCGTCATCGTCGTCGTCGTCGTCGTTCCCATCCCCGTCCTCGTCCTCGTCCTCGTCGTCATCGTCGTTGTCGTCGTCGTTGTCGTCCAGCGCTCGGGCCTTCTCGTCGTCCAGCAACCTCCGGGCTCACGCGGCGCCCCTCCCCAGCTTGGGGGGGCGCGGGCGGGTGGGCTGCGAGGCCGTGGCCCGGCGGGGATGGGGGCCCGTTGGACGATGCTCGAGGCCTCCTCGAGGGAGCCCGAGCAGGTGGGAGCGGAGGATCGCGCTGCATCGCCGATGCATGGGAGACGTCGGCGATGCACCGGCGACGTCGACGTGGAGGAAGTCTGGCTCCACATCGAGCCGCATCGCCGATGCAGCGGCGATGCAGCGGCGAGGCCACGCGATCCTCCGACGCCATCCACTCGGACCCCATCTGGAGGACATAGAATCCGCGGACCCCTTGGGGATCATCGGCGTGTGAGATGCTTCCCCCTCCCCAAACCCCTCCCCCCGGAGCCTGGTCTGGTCGAGTTGGAGAGGGGGGGCCGTCCGGCCAAAGCTCACCAGGGGGGTCCAGCCCTTCCTGGGCCCCTTTTGGAGGTCCACGACAGCTTCTGGGGCCGCCCAAGAGGCCCCCAAGACGGTCCAAGAGGGCCCCGAGACGCCGAAAGATCGTTCCAAGACGCCTACCTTGGGCCGAAAGATCGTTCCAAGACGCCTGACATGGGTCGAAGACGGCCCAAGAGGCCGCCAAGACGTTCCAAGAGGCATCCCAGGAGGCCTCCAAGAGGCCAAAATCGCCTAATTCCCTTAGGAACACGTGCATTTCTAGCACATACGATTTTCCCGCCTTCACCTTCCAAGATGCCTCCAAGGCCACCCTAGGGCGGCCCCATAGGCTCCCTAAAAGCCCCCAACACGGCACAAGAGGCGCCCAAAACGACCCGAAAGGGCTCCAAGACAGCCCCAAGAGGGGCCCGAAAGGGGGACCACGAAACGAACATTCCAGCCGTCCGCCCCTAGAGGCCCCCAGGAGGCCACAAGAGGCTCCAAAAAGGCGTCCAGACGCCCCCAAAAGGCCCCCAAGAGGCACCAAGAGGCTCCCCAGAGGCCTCCAAGAGGCCCCAAGGGGCCCCAAGAGGCCCCCCAATCGGCTTCGATATACGATGGTTCAGCCTTCACAGCGCGGAAGACCCTCCAAGATGCCTCCAAGACCGCCCTAAGACGGCCCCGTAGGCTCCCAAACCGGAACGGACGCTTCGAACCTTCGGCTCCAAGACGCCCCCAACGTGCCCCAGGGACCCCCAGGAAGCCCCCCCCAAAAAACAGAGGGGTCGGCGGTGCGGCGTAAGCCTAAGAACCAGAAAGCCCAGGGTTCGCTAGGGACCGGTTGCCCCCCATGGCGGCGAAAACCCTTCCAATAAACCCCCCGAATAGTTGCGAAGAGCCTCCGGGAACCCTTCCCGGAGGGTTCTCAGAGGGTTTCGGCAAGGCTTTGGCTGCTTTGGAAGGAAACCATTCCCTAATGTTCGGTCGGGCATGTCCTCCAACAGGCGGATCCTGGAAGACAAATTGAAAATAGTCAACAACAACAACAACAACAACAACAACCACCACCACCACCACCACCACCACCACCACAACAACAACAACAACAACAACAACAACAACAACAGCAAAAAAAAACAAGTGGTCAAAAATGATAGAAAAATCATCCCCTGACTTGTTTTCCCAACCATCATGTGGTGTTGGGTCCTCGTTTTGAAAAGACTGCGCCCCGCGTTCTCCTTCCTCCTCTTCCTCTCCTCCTCCTCCCACTCCTCCTCTTCCTCCTCCTCCTCCTCCTCCTCCTCCTCCTCCTCCTCCTCCTCCTCCTCCTCCTCCTCCTCCTCCTCCTTCCTCCATCCTCCATCCTGTTCTCAGTCGTGCTGACTCATCCTCCATCCTGCTCCATTTCGGCACACCCCTCACACGCTTCGTGGCCCTATAGGGAGCTCCGCCGAAGGCCCCAGTGGCAGGGTTCGCACGCGTCCCCCAGCCCATTTCGGCACACCCGCCACACGCTTCGTGGCCCGTAGGGAGCTCCGCCGAAGGCCCCAGTGGCAGGGTTCGCACGCGTCCCCCAGCCCATTTCGGCACACCCGCCACACGCTTCGTGGCCCGTAGGGAGCTCCGCCGAAGGCCCCAGTGGCAGGGTTCGCACGCGTCCCCCAGCCCATGTCGGCACACCCCTCACACAAGAGAATGGAGACAAAACGTCCGCGCACGGGGCTTTGGACACCGCGGGCACTCGCAGCTGCATATGGTTGGGTCCTTCGTCAAGCTAACTCACTATTCCTGACATCCCTCCTGTAGAGAGAGGCGCCCGCCTTGAACCCTAGCGAACCCTGAAGCTTCCGAGCCTAGAGACACGGAGCTCCGCCAGCGTCAGCGCCCGCCGCGGCGGGTCCCCGCCGACCACGGCCGCGGCCAGCTGCGGCGGCCGCCGCACGCGGTCCGGCAGCAGCAGCGAGCGCAGCGCCCGCGCGCGCGCGCGCAGCGGGCCGACGCCCTCCTCGGGGGCCCCGCCGCCGCCCGCGGCGGCGGCGGCCTCCTCGCCCTCGCTGGCCCCCGGCCTGGGCGCCTTGCGCGCAGGGGGCGGCGGCCTGGCCTCCTCCGCCTCGGCGGCCTCTGGGGCGCCAGGGCAGCCGCGCTTCATCTCTCGCGGGCCGCGGGAGGGCGCGGCCTGGCAGGCCCTTGGAGCCCAGATGGCCGCCACGGGAGGAGCGAGAAGCACGGGGGGGGCCACTGCATAATGGAAACAAGTCCCGAGCAAAGCAACACGCACCACGACCACGACGATGCCGACGCCGACGACGACGACGACGACGACGACGACGACGACGACGACGACGACGACGACGACGACGACGACGGAGACGAGGCGCACAGACGATCCGCACCGAAGCACGAGGGAAGCAGACGCCCGGCTCGACTCGCTCTGTGGCGCCGGGCCGCCATGCCCAGAGCCGACGAGGCGGCTGGTGCAGGGGCGGCCCTCTGGAGCCCAGATGGAGGAGCGAGGGCAAGAGGGAAGAGGACGCCTGGCTCGACTCGCTCGACCTGGCATGCCCAAAGCCGAGAGGCGGCTGGTGCAGGGAGGTGGTCGTCGCCAGGCCTGCAGGCAGGGATGAGAAGGGAGAGGGGAAGAGGGAGCTCCGGGCCGAATGGAGGTGGGGAGGATTGGCGGGTCTGGGAACACTCGAGGTTCAGAACGGAAACCACCTTCATCCCTACCGAGTTCCACCCCTCCGTTATCCTCCTTCTCTACCTCCTTCTTATCCTCCCTCCTCCTCCTCCTCCTCCTCCTCCTCCTCCTCCTCCTCCTCCTCCTCCTTCCACTGGAAGACAAAAACCATCACCAACGCACGAAACATGTGCGTGCAAACTAGAAAAACCACACACACACACACACACTAAACAAACAAATTATCCAAGCGCGACCCGACCTAGGAGTTGGAGCCCCCAGGAAAGCAGCATTAGTAGTAACAGTAAAGCTAAGCTAAAGATAGGCTAGCTAAAGCTAGGCTAAAGCTAAGCTAAAGCTAAGCTAAAGCTAAGCTAAAGCTAAGCTAAAGCTAAGCTAAAGCTAAGCTAAAGCTAAGCTAAAGCTAAGCTAAAGCTAAGCTAAGCTAAAGCTAAACTAAAGCTAAGCTAAAGATAAGCTGAAGCTAAGCTAAAGCTAAGCTAAAGCTAAGCTAAAGCTAAGCTAACGCCTAAAGCTAAGCTAAAGCTAAGCTAAAGCTAAGCTAAAGCTAAGCTAAAGCTGAGCTAACGCTAAGCTAAAGCTAAGCTAAAGCTAAGCTAAAGCTAAGTTAAAGCTAAGCTAAAGCTAAGCTAAAGCTAAGCTGCAGCTAGGCTAAAGCTGAGCTAAAGCTGAGCTAAAGCTAAGCTAAAGCTAAGCTTAAGCTAAGCTGAAGCTAAGCTGAAGCTAAGCTGAAGCTAAGCTAAAGATAAGCTGAAGCTAAGCTAAAGATAAGCTAAAGGTGAGTTAAAGATAAGCTAAAGCTAAGCTAAAGCTAAGTTAAAGCTAAGCGAAAGCTAAGCGAACGTTAAGCTAAAGCTAAGATAAAGCTAAGCTAAAGCTAAGCTAAAGCTAAGCTACAGCTAAGTTACAGCTAATCTAAAGTTAAACTAAAGCTAAGCTAAGGCTAAGCTAAAGCTAAGCTAAAGCTAAGCTAAAGCTAAGCTAAAGCTAAGCTAAAGCTAAAGCTAAAGCTAAAGCTCCCAGGGAACTGGGGGAACCGCGGGGCGGATACCGGGGGAACCGCACGGGGACTGCCCGGCCCCTTTAAGATAGAGAGTAAGAACCCTTCTAGGCAGAGCCTAGGTAGGGAACAAACTAACTAACTAAATAACATACAAACGAACAAACAATAATAAAAACATAAACAAATAAACAAACAAACAAACGAACAAACGAACTGACTAACAAACAAACAAACACAACACAACACGCAACTGACGTGTAAATGAACGCACTGAACTGCATACCTGATCAGAGAACCCTGCCAGAATTTCGCCCGAAACCGTTGCTCTCTGAGCTTCTCAGAACAATGTTTGCACTCAGAGGGTAGCACTTCTCTCTGAAAGAACAAGGCCTGCTTGCCTGGTCGCAGGTCGCAGGGCTCGTGGCCGCCCGTCACCACCCGCAGCCGCCGTCCGTCGCCGCTGCTGCTGAGCCCGTCTGCCTGGTCGCCGCGCTTGTGGCCGCCCATCGCCGCCGCCCGCCGCCGCTGTGATTGGGCTTCACGGGTCCCCCTTTTCCCTCACCCCTTATGGTTCTATCGCTGGCAAATTCTACCGCGCGCGTGGCCTCGTTGATCACAAACCGGAGGTCAAAAACAGTCTGCGCTAAACATCAATACGGTCCACGCGCGCGCGTCGTCGCGCGCGCATGTCGGAATCCGTTGTGTAAGCCCTGGGCGTCGTAAAAATTTCAAGATCGAGGTTCTCGGGCGCATCTAAACAAACACGTGTTGTTCCAACATGCCAGCCAGCGTAGACCCCAAACTATGCGCCTCTACTAATATAGCTGGTGCAACCGATATGGTGCAGCCTACGTGGTGCAATGCCTACCGAACTTGAAGTTGTCAACTCCAGTATTCGCGCTATCATCCCACCCACCCACCCGCAACTTGGTTTTCAATACAAATGCGGCGGCGATTGCGATGAGTTCTCGGCGCTGGCTGGCGCATCGCAGCGGCCGTGCTAGCCCGCGAATGCTCTCGCGCGCAGCGGCCAGCTAGCCTGGCGCGATCGACGCGGCCGCGGTGGCGCTGACCGCTGGGCGCTTCCCAACGGGCACTTCAGTGCGAGTCGGTGACTTGGGCGGGCGCGGTATCATAGCAACGTCAGACAACGGTCGACACGATGATGATAGTGTCGATGCTGGTGACGATGGAGAGAAACAACGACGACGGCAAGGCCAGTGACGGCACCGATGCTGGTCACGCCGACGACGATGACGGCGTCCTCGCGTCGATGATGAAGATTTTGGGAGGGGTTTGACATGCGCGCGGCCGACGCGCGAGAGTGGCCCGCATGGTATTATTTGACACGGGTCGTGCCCCCCCAGCACGCGTGCAAGGGTGTCCGAATGATTTCGACATGCGGCGCGAGAGGCCCGCTTGGCCGAATTCACTGGACATGTTGTAAGCCTACGCTTTTTTAGAATTTGCACGAGCGCGAGCGCAGGCTTTTTTGAATACTGATGTTGAGCACTCGACTTTATCCTGACGACTTCTTAAAGTCTTAAAGGATTTTGTTCCACCGAAGGCTCTGGTGGGAAAGCTAGCATGGCGGCGCCGCACAAAATTTCGGCGCACCCCTCAAACGTTCGTGGCCCCAAAGGAAGCCCCACCGAAGGCCCTGGTGGCAAAGTTCGCATGGCGGCACCGCGCACATTTCGGCGAGACCCTGACACGCTTCGTGGCCCATTGAAACCCCCACTGAAGGCACCAGCGGGAAAGCTGCTATGGCGGTGCCACACGAACATTCGGCGCACCCCTCACATGTTTCGCGGCCCCACAGGAATGTCCTCTCTTGTGTCCCAGCCTGCCCTGCGACACTTTCTCTGCCCTGAATATGCTTGGGCACCTCGCCGGAAGAAAACTCTGCTCCCCGGCACGGCGACAGGCCGGTCGAGCAGCTCAGGGGCACTGAGCAACTAAGTCGTGGAAACAAATATGTACTCCAGATTTCGTAATAAAGGGCGGGGGGTCTCATTTCGGGGGGGGGTCTCTTCCAGGCTATCTTGGAGGGCCTGGGGGGTCTGGGGACGATGTTTTGGGGGGTTCTCCCACGGGGGGGGTCTGAAATGGCTAGTCTTGGAGGGTCCAGACTCCCTCCCTTTTATTACGAAATCTGGAGTAACCTTGGGAAGTCGCCCACCCTTCCTATTCGAGCAGGGGATCGACTACGGAATTGATTTACCCCTGAATTGATTCTCCCCATCAGATCTACGACGAACACGTAAAATAATGCTCGTGAATCGACTGAGAGTTCTAAATATGTTCCCCGTAGTTTCGACGAGAAAACTAATTGTGGGGTTAATAAATTATGTAGTCCATCCCCTACTCGAACTATCCGTTTCGACTGCAATCAAGGAACGTGCCCACAAGACAAAGATTTGCGCACGGCGATCTAGACAGGCTGAACGGACAGTGCCAGGCGAGCGCTGGGCGAAGCACATGCACGCTAAATCCAAGTCAGACCGGATAATGGAAGGAATTGTGCACTTGTAGGACTCACAACTATGCGCGCACATCACATAATTATCAACTGCATGCTTGCATATGGGCACGCCTATGTAAAGACAGCCAGCCGCACAATGCGATTGCCAACACTGCGAACGGTCCTAGTCGCGCGTCTTACTCAACCGGTCTTTGCTGCTGCGACATGAGAACCATTTTCCCACCACAGCAACCGCGCGCCGCAAGTGTCTAGGCAAGAGCAGGAGGCAGCCATTTCAGAAGCAGTCTGGTGAGCGGCGGCAGATTGCATAGCAGCACCGTTGCAGAGCCAGTCATAATGAAACCAACAAGGCCATATGTGAACGCTTGCTGCTCCCTTCCCGCCAAAGAGATCGCACCGATGCCCTGGGCTGCGCCTGAGATGGAGAGGCCCCGTGCGCGTTGACTCCGCAGCCGCAAGACCGCAAACACAGCCTGACCTGATATAACTCCCAGCAGCCCAGAGAAAGTCGTCATCGCGACAGCGAGCGCGCTGTTTGCCCCCAGCGAGCTCGCGACATCTACCGCGAACGGTGATGCGACGGCCCGCGAGATAGCAGCGATTGCCAGCGGCCTGGGCAGACGCAGCCAATGCGCCAGCAGCGGGGTGCTAAACACAGTGACGGCCGCGGATACCAGCGCTGTGACAACGATCGGGGCCAGATCGCGCCACAGCACAGCGCGGAACTCGAAGAGCAGCAGCCCGAGCGCCACGAGGGTTGGAGGAAGCAGATCCGCCTCCGCGCCTGCAGCGGTGGGTGCGCTTTGAGCTACTGTACTGTCGTGCAGTTCTTCTACTGATTGATCCAGCGAGTGTGCAGCACCAGGCCCCAAGAGACCTCGAAAGAAGCACGTCTTTCGGCACCAAGGTTCCTGCGGCGGCGGTCCTCTCCAGAGAACACAGCGCGCGCTGGCACAAGTGGGGGGGAACCGTCGGGGCCCCTGGGCCCCCCAGGGGCTTATCGGGACCGCGGAGGGGGGGGGAAGGAGGGGGACGGACGAGAACGGGGAGGAGGAGCAATAGGTTGAGGAGGACGACAAGGAGAGACGAATGAAGAGCGTGGAGGGATGGGAAAGTGCCGAGAGCAGGGAGACGGGAGCAGGAAGCAGTGCAGGGAGACCCTGCCGCAGCGTACTACTCCCTCCTCCTCCTCCTCCTCCTCCTCCTCCTCCTCCTCCTCCTCCTCCAACTTCTCCTCCTCGAAATCCTCGTCCTCATCATCATAGTCCTACCTTCTCCTCCTCCTCCTCCTCCTCCTCCTCCTCGTCCTCCTCATCCTCCTCATCGTCCTTCTCTTCGTCATCATCATCATCATCATCATCATCATCATCATCACCACCACCATCATCATCATCATCATCATCATCATCATCATCATCGTCGTCGTCGTCATCATCATCAGCATCATCAACTCATCATCAGCATCACCATCATCATCAGCATCAGCATCATCATCATCATCATCATCATCAGCAGCAGCATCATCATCATCATCAACATCATCATCAACATCATCATCATCATCAGCAGCAGCATCATCATCAGCATCAGCATCAGCATCACCATCATCATCGTCATCACCATCAGCAGCATTAGCATCATCATCACCTGCATAGTCGTCATCAGCATCAGCATCAGCAATCATGATCATCATCGTCACCGCCAGCATCATCAGCATCATCATCATCATCATCATCAGCATCAGAATCGTCATCATCATCATCCTAGGCATCATAAGCATCATCATAATCACCATCATCAGCATCATTATCATCATCACAATCAGCATCATCAGCAGCATCGTCATATCAACATCCTCATCCTCATCATCATCAACAACGTCATCATAGTCAGCATCGTCATCAGCATCAGATTCATCATCAGCAGCAGCAGATGCACCATCACAAGCATCAGCATCGTCATCGTCATCGTCCTCATCATCATCATCATCATCAGCATCAGCATCATCATCATCACCATCACCATCACCATCACCATCACCATCACCTTCATCCTCATCATCATCATCATCAGTTTCATGATCATAATCATGATCAGCAGCATCATCATCATCATCATCAGCATCAGAATCATCAGCAGCATCATCAGCATCATCACCATCAGCATCAGCATCATCAGCAGCATCGTCGTCATCATAATCAGCATCTTCATCATCAGCATCATCAGCAGCATCGTCATCATCAGAATCAGCAGTTTCACCATCAACATCCATCATCAACATCGACATCATCAGCATCAGCGTCGGCATCAACATCATAATCATCATCATCCGCATCATCATACCCATACACATGTTCCTACTCCTACTCCGTTCTCCTCCTCTCTACTATCTCCTTCTTCAAAAAGCGTGTCCAGCTCCTCAGCCTCCTGCTCCGTTGATTTCCCGTCGTGATCCTTTTCTCACTCTTCCTCCTCCTCCTCCTCCTCACTTCCCTCCTCCTCATACTTCTCCGTCTCCTCGTCGTCCTCCTCTCCCTCCTCCCCGTCATCGTCATCGTCATCGGCATCATCATCATCATCATCATCATCATCATCATCATCATCATCATCATCATCATCATCATCATCATCATCATCATCATCATCATCATCATCATCATCATCATCATCATCATCATCATCAGCATCATCATCATCATCATCATCATCATCATCATCATCATCATCATCATCATCATCATCATCATCATCATCATCATCATCATCATCATCATCATCATCATCATCATCATCATCATCATCATCATCATCATCATCATCATCATCATCATCATCATCATCATCATCATCATCAATCA